TCTTTTCACCATGTCGTTAACCTAAAATGTCAGACATGACCACCTGCTCTTTGAAAACCTTATCAACTTCCTCTGCAAAATATCACCTAAAATGTCACAGTATTTAGTGTTTGATGCTTTTTGACTTAACCCTAGAGTTCTATTTACAGTGAACTTGTGATAATTTTTGTCAAATTATATATTTGAATACCTAATACATTAAGATATAATATCTTATTTAAATAATATTAAAATGTGGTATAATATCATAATGCATGTTTAATTAATATGAATCTCATTCAAATTTCAAATATATATTTTTATTTAATGTTTATGATACACATCAATTATTTTAATATTTAACATATCAAATACGTTAATATGTTTTGATATTATACTTCAAGACTATAGGAACTTTCTCAGAGGACCTGAGAGTTACATCGGCCCACAATGCATCTCATGGACGATGCAAAACTATGGTGGCGCTTGAAGGTGAATTGTATAAAAAACTGGTCATCCACCAAAAAATTATGGGAAGACCATTGATGGAATTGAAGCAATCGACGCTCCCCTGTATGGGTTTCCAATCAAAGACCTAATGTTTGATGTTGAGTCTTTTGAAGGAAGAGCCACGTGATCGAACAACAAGAAATGTGGCAGTATCTCTGAGAACTCTATCACACACATAAAAAAAACGTGTCGAAGAGTTAGACATTACACAGAAGATCTGGCTTTCATCGAGGAGACCCGAGTTTGATTCTCGACAGAAATTTTATTTTCTTATTTCTTTTATTTTATAGTTTCATCTTTTGTCACCAATTATATTTAAACTTTACCTAGGTTTGAGAAGCACTATTATGGATGAGTTCAATAGTATCTTAAATTCAAAAGACTTTTATGAACTTGGTTTGAGAGGCACTATAATGGTCAAGTTCAATAGTATCTTACATTAAAAAGACTTTTATGAACATTGAACCTTTAACAGGGTTATGTCATAGATATTTGGTTCAATTTCAACAAGTGAGGTTGAGGTCATTCAAATGGTTAATGTGATAATACGGTCATTTTCAAGGTCTCTTTTGTTGAACGCCATCATGGCTGAGATGACTGAGATGAGCACCAGAGTGAGTTTGACAAGGAGGGTCGTAGAGAACCACACCCCAAGCTAAGCTCATGTTGGGCTTAACAAACTGAAAATTCAAAAACACAAACCCTTAAATGGGAACAAGGATGCTAAGGAATTAAAAAAACTTTATTTTTGACGTTGAACAATACTTGAAGGTTACTGGAACTTGCTCATAGAACTTAAGAGTTACGTTGGCCACAATGCATCTCATGGACGGTTGCGCTCGAAGGTGGATGATATAAAAAATTTGTCATGCACCATAAACTCATGGGAAGACCGTTGATGGAATCGATGCAATCGACGCTCCCCTTAATGGGTTGCCAATTAAAGACCTGACGTTTGATGTTGACTCTTTTGAAGAAAAAGCCACATGATGGAACATCTCAAAATGTCGCAGTAGCTCTAAGAACTCTATCATACGACCTGAGAGTTGAGGGCTACAAGAACTTTCTCATACGACCTGAGAGTTACGTTAGCCGCAATGCATCTCATGGACGATGCAAAACTATGGTAGTGCTCGAAGGTGAATGGTATAAAAAATGGGTCATGCACCATAAACTCATGGGAAGATCGTTGATGGAATCGATGCAATCGACGCTCCCCTGGATAGGTTGCCAATCAAAGACCAAACATTTGATATTGACTCTTTTGAAGAAAGAGCCACACAATCTCACAGCTCGAAACATCGCGGTAGCCCTAAGAACTCTAACACACATAGGGAAGGACGTGTCGAAGAGTTAGACATTAAAAAGAAAATATTATGCTAAAACTCTTCAGCGTTCTGACAAAAGACTTTAGGACATCTTCACCAAAAATTCATTGTTATCCAACAGTCAAGATATCTAGCTTTCACCCACGATCCGAGTTCGATTCCCGGCAATGGAATATTATTTTCTTATTTCATTTTATTTTACAGTTTCTATCTTAGACTAATAGGACTTTTATGAACTTTGTACCTTTGATAGAGTTATGTTATAGATATTTTGTTCAATTTCAAATGGTTAATGCGATAATCTAGTCATTTTCGAGGTCTCTCTTGTTGAACGACATCATGGTTGAGATGAGCAAGTGATTCAAATGGTTAATGCGATAATCCAGTCGTTTTCGAGGTCTCTCTTGTTGAACGACGTCATGGTTGAGATCAGCAGGTGATTCAAATGGTTAATGCGATAATCCAGTCGTTTTCGAGTTCTCTCTTGTTGAACGACATCATGGTTGAGATGAGCACTCGAGTGAGTTTGACAAGTTGGGCTGTAGAGAACCACACCTCAAGACAAGTTCATGTGGGCTTAACAAACTTAAAATCCAAGAACACAACCCCTTAAATAGAAACCGGGATGCTAAGGAATTAAAAAGCTTTATTTTTTACGTAGAACAATACTTGACGGTTACTGGAACTTGTTCATAGGACCTAAGAGTTACGTTGGCCGCAATGCATCTCACGGACGATGCAAAACTATGGTGGCGCTCGAAGGTGAATGGTATAAAAAATGGGTCATGCACCATAAACTCATGGGAAGACTGTTGATGGAATCGGTGTAATCGACGCTCCTTTGGATGGGTTGCCAATCAAAGACCTGATGTTTGATGTTTACCCTTTTGAAGAAAGAGTCACACGATCGAATAGCTCGAAACGTCGCGGTAATTCTGAGAACTCTATCACACACATGAAAGGACGTGTCAAAGAATTAGACATTACCCAAAACATCATAGTAAAACTCTTGAGCAATTAGCTAAAAGACTTTAGGACAACTACACCAAAAATTCATTGTAGTACAACGGTTTTGATATTTGGCTTTCACCTAGGAGATTCTGGTTTGATTATCTCAAATTGAATATTATTTTCTTATTTCTTTTTATTTTATAGTTTCATCTTTTGTCACCAATTATATTTAAACTTTACCTCATTTTGAGAGGTACTTTAATGGTCAAGTTCAATAGTATCTTAGATTAAAAACTTTTATGAACATCGTACCTATGTTAGTGTTATGTTATAGATATTTGTTTCAATTTCAACAAGTGGGGTTGAGGTGATTCAAATGGTTAATGCGATAATCCGGCTATTTTCGAGGTCTCTCTTGTTGAACACCATCATGGTTGAGATGAGCACCCGAGTGAGTTTGACAAGGAGACTTGAATTTAAACTTTACCTACGTTTGAGAGGCACTATAATGGTCAAGTTCAATGGTATTTTAGATTAACAAGACTTTTATGAACTTCGTACCTTTGTTAGTGTTACTTTGTACCTTTGTTTGTGTTACTTTGTACCTATGTTAGTGTTATGTTATAGTCATTTGGTCAAGTTCAACAAGTGGGGTTGAGGTGATTCAAATGGTTAATGTCACTTTATTTGATTCAAATTGTTAATGTGATAATCCAGTTGAATAGTTACAGGTTATCTCCAAGGTCTCTCTTATTGAATGCCAACAAGGTTGAAATGATTGAGATGAGAACCTGAGTGAGTTTGACAAAATTGAAATAAAATCAAATAAAATCACTAAAAAAAAATCAAAAAAATTGAAAAAAAAATTAGCCGTATGACACTTCCTTCAACTCGATGGGCCGTAAATCAAGGATTCCTTCGCCCAAGACCCATGATCCAACTCCCAGCATGGAAATGATAAGCTATAGAATCATTCCAAGAACCTCAATGACAACTGGATGTGTCATCGGCGTTAGAAGAACGACCGCATCAGAGCAAGTCATGGGGATAGAAGATCCCGTTGAAGGATGATAGACCAACCGTAATCTTCAGCCCAATGAACCAAGCTTTTGTAGAAGCAATAACCCTTGTATTAAAGAAATTAACACATTCTTATACAAAATTTGGATCAACCAAGAGATAAAGCTAGAATTAGATAATGAGATCCAAGATTGAGAAACAAGATTTGGATCAACTACTCATGAAATGATGCTTGCAACTTCATCCACTACTTCAACCGTGCAAATATTTACTTTTGAATCTTCAAATGGTCTTGACTCAAACGAATCGGCTTGTAACACATGAAATGATGGTTGAACCTAGCCTATCCAATTTTCTAGATGAAGTATGAATGCTTTGTTGAATCTTCTTGGCCTTTGGTTGTGTAATAGGTCTAGTTTGAACACCATGATTCTTATCGTCATCCCCCTCCTCAAAAGGATTCGTCCTCGAATCAGAAAAATCATCACCTACATCAAAAGGACTCAACTCAGCAACATTGAAAGTAGAATGTACATCGTGATTCTTATCATCATCCCCGTTTTCAGGATTCGTCATCGAATTAGAAAAATCATCACCTACATCAAAATGACTCAACTTAGCAACATTGAAAGTAGAATGTATTGACGATTCTACGGGAACATCAATTTTATTGTTCCATGCAATAAAATGAGTCATTTTACTAAATATCTTATAGAGCATTTATAGTATCACGCTAACATTAAAATGAAAATTCATTATTAAAATTATTTATGCTAATTCATTGATATTTTAAAAAGAAATCATCTAAATTAAGTTATAATTTAATAATTTTCGACCCTCTCAAAACTGAGTTATCTTCACTAATATTTGAAAAAATAAAAATTCATAAGTAAAGCTATTTCCACTGATTCATTATATTTTAAAAAAAATAATAATTCAGCTAAACTATAACATGCAATGAATGCAGATCGAACACAAGACCTTCCCAATATTCAATCTAATGCTCTCCCCACAATGCTCTCCCCACTAAGCCATTCCAGATAACATAAAAAATGAATAATCACAAGTTTTAGATTGAATAGTCAAGTTATGCAATTTAGTCAACCTATGCCAGTTGGATAAAAAACGATATTTCCACTAATTCATTATATTTTAAACATAAATAATCACTAATTTTGGAAAGAATAGTCAAATTATGCAATATGAACCAAGTGCGGTGAACGTGGATCGAACACGTGACCTTCAGATCTTCAGTCTGATGCTCTCCCAACTGAGCTATCCCCGCAATCATTAGAAATGATTTCATCAATAAATATATTTTCGCTAATTCATTGAGATTTTAAAAAGAAATAATGACTTATTTTTTTTATTGAATAGTCAGGTTATGCAAATAGAAACAAGTGCGGTGAACGTGGAGATCGAACACATGACCTTCAAATCTTAAATCTGACGGTCTCCAAACTGAGCTATCCCCGCTAACATTAAAAATGAAAGTTTTTAAGTAAAGGTATTTCGGCTAATTAATTGAAATGATCACTAATTTTAGATTGAATAGTCAAATTGTGCAACGTGAACCATGTGTGGTGAACGTGGATCGAACAGGAGACCTTCAAATCTTCAATCTAACGCTCTCTCAACTGAACTATCCACACTAATGCTAAAAAGTAAAGGCATTTTCGCTACTTCATTGAAATTTTAAATAGAAATAATCACTAATATTTAATAAGATATTCAAGTTATCCAACTTGTATAAGGTGTGGTGAACTATAACACGTTAGGTATTTCCAATCATTCATTGAGATTTCAGAAAGGAACAATGACTAATTTTAGATTGAATAGTCGGGTTATGCATCTAGAATCAGGTGCGGTGAACGTGGAGATCAAACACGTGACCTTCAAATCTTCAGTCTGATTCTCTCCCAACAGAGCTATCCACGCTAATATTAAAAATGAAAATTCATAAGAAAAGGTATTTCCGCTAATTCATTATGTTTAAAAAAGAAATAATTACTAATTTTAGATTGAATAAGCAAGTTATGTTTTTAGATTGTATAGTCAGTATGGAAATGGCAACAAGAAATAAATGGACAGATTTAAAGAAAAGAAAAACATAAACGAATCAACAAGAGATAAAATCAATTATAGAATATGCCATATAGATGCAACCTAGGCTCTGATACCAAATTGATTAGGCAACCCTAGTCATCAACCCAACCATGAAGTTTAGTTGAAGCAAAAAACCTTGAATCAAGAAATTAACTAATTCTCCACACTTTTGTTTTTGTATTTTTTTTAGTAGGGTTTGATCTTCTTGTTAGATATTCGCCAACTATTCTCAAGTGGCAAGTCACTAGTCATCTGATCTTTCAGGAGTCATATGTCATATAGTCATATATTGCATATTCGTCAACTCACCTACTAGAACTTGAATCGATAATCGGGAAAATGGTAAGAGCATAACTAAATTACCTCATTTCTGGTATGCTTAGAAGAGTTAAACTACATGGCACCAATGGCCGGAAATAGCTTAGATAAGCTAAATAGGGCACAACGGTAATAACTCAATTTTAAAAACTTCACAGCACAGCTATAATAACTCAATTTTCAAGGCTTCAAATCATTTTTCATGATACAAAGAAAAAAATTGATAAAAATTGTTACGAGATTCGAAAAATAAGGACAACTACACGTAACACATAGAACTGACCTGACAAAGAAAAAAATTGATAAAAATTGAAACGAGATTTGAAAACTAAGGACAACAACTCGTAACACATAGAACTGACGGCTCGAGACGACCCTCCTCTGTGACCTTAACTAACAATTAGTGATCCCCGAAAAAGGAAAAGTAATATATAGTGCAACTAAATAAGTAACCTACTTGTAGGCGGTAATCGAATCCTTGGTCGAGCAAGTTGCCACGAATTTTTCTCTATGTTAGAGAAAGTTCAGGTGTAGATTATATGTAACGACCCTAGTTTTCTAGGGACCTAGAGTCACTAGAATATGCATGATGTAACTGCTTTATGCGAAAATATTTTTTACATTATGTTTTCATATCAAAGGTACCCTTAAAAATAACTCAACATTATTATTAAGGATGCTAGATTAAGACTAACAATGTTAGGAATCATAAACCTCCATAATTATATGACATTGTCCATTTTGGTTGAAGGGTTAAATTTTTCCACATACTAAAATGGAATGATTCATTCCCATGGCCTAAAAAAGAGCTTGAACCTCCCCAACATTATCGTTAACCATCATGTGCTCTAACCAACTGAACTATTCCAAAAAATTATGAGTATTAGCCTAGATATTGTCTACTTTGGCTCGTTACATATCGTCGTCAACCGCACGGTTTTAAAACGCGTCTAATAGTGAGAGATTTCCACATCTTATAAGAAATGTTTCATCCCCTCCCCAACCGATGTGGGATTTCACAATCCACCCCTTTGTGTTCCCAGTAATCTCGTTGGCACACCACCCGATGACTAGCTCTGATACAATTTGTTACAAACCAAGCCCACCTCTATCAGATATTGTCTACTTTAGCTAATTACGTATCGTCATCAGCCTCACGATTTTAAAATATGTCTACTAAGATGAGGTATCTACAACCTTAAAGAAAATTCTTGGTTCCCCTCTCCAATTGCTAGCAAATATATATTTTTTTTTTCTGTTACTTATCGTTGTATGTTTAAAAGTTTTAAAATGCGTCTATTAGGGAGAGTTTTCCACATCCTTATAAGGAATGCTTCATTCCCCTCTCCAAAAAATGTTAGATCACAAAATAAATAGTCAAGATGGTCGAGTGGTCTAAGGCCCCATACATAAGTTTTAGTCCTCATGAGAGGGCGTGGGTTCAAATCCCACTTTTGAAACTTTAATATTAACTATTAGGGTAAGTTTTCTTTTGTTCATTCTTGGTTTCTTTGATACTTGTTCTTAATACACATTTCAGAGTCCTTATCACAAGTGTTTAACTTAATAAATTGTACTTGGAGTAGGCATACAAAACACACACAAATATGCTAGTTTAATCTTATATTCTCACTCTATCAAATTGCTAGTTTAATCTTTCCACTTTTGATTTTTTATTAAACGATTAGTCTGTCAAATTGCTAGTTAAGTGTTTAAAGGCATACTTACTTGGTCTGGTAGGGAGTTCTCCTAAGCTAGGCCATAGAGAAACCTTGGGCTCTGATACCACTCTGTAAGGATCGGGCTATCGCGATGGTTTCTAAAAGACGGAAAATTTTTTCGTGAAATAAACAAAAAAATTTAAAAAATTATATTCACATAATATCAAAATAAAGTTTATACATAAGTATTTAAAACACAACATACTAGTTAAAACATAAAATAAGGAACGGGCACAAAACATTTTAAAACAAATGGGTTGAGGACAACGAGTGAGGTTTGCCTATGGCACCTGCTTCAGAGTTCGCTCACAACCTCGACCAACTCCTTATTACCTAAAACAAATGGAGAATAAAGAATGAGACAAAGACTCTATAAGTAGCCTACTTGTAGGCTCTTAATCGTGTCCTTGATATTCTAAGGTACCACATTCTTTGTTGTTGTCTCGTTCTTGTTCTTGTTCTTGTTGTAAGTACTTAAGTTCTCCAGTTCTTGTTCTTGTAATTGTTGTAAGTACTTAAGTTCTCCAGTTCTTGTCTTGAGTTGGGGTTCTTATCTTGATTATCCTGAGGACCTTGGTCCCTGGATTATGAAACTTTGGTTATCCTTTAAGGGCCTTAGTACATGGTTCTTGGTTCTTGTCCTTAGAACTTGGGTCTTGATCCATGTTCTAGACCTTGATCTTTCTCTTGTTCCTGATACTTTCTTTATTCTTGTTCTGTTCTTGATTCGTTCTCCAAGACACTCCCCCTAGGATTTATGGCACTAGCTATGCACCTAACAATCCTGTGTCCAAGGCTTCATGCGTTCCAAGCGATACAATCTTAACCTACGTTCATGGCTTCATGAGTTCCAAGCAACGTAGTCTTAACCCGCATCTTAGGGCTTGCCCTCCGATACTGTCTGCTAACCTATGCCCAAGGCTTCATGCATTCCAATCGGCATAGTCTGAAAACCAACATCCAAGACTTCTTAAGTTCCAAGAGATGTAGTCTAATCCTGCATCAAGGGCTTGTCCTATGATACAGTCTGAAACCATACGCTCAAGGCTTCATGCGTTCCAAGCAGCATAATCTAAATCATGAGCACGTTGTACCTTGGGAGGTCTTAGGAGTTGATTCTTGGCTAGGGTAACTTATTATCTTCTTGTTCCATCATGGCCCTAGACTACTCCCCATGATAAACCATAAAGGTCATGTGGTCGATGCTTACATGAACATGGCATCCTGCAAATCTTTTGGGTACCCGTAACATGGTGCAGGGCTCTTCTAGGTGAGAGAAATGAGGCCGATCATGATATTCTTCATAGGAGACATGGTGCAGGGCATCCCACCTAGAAGAAGAAATCTTGGGCCTCAAAAAGCATTGCGTGGTGGGAGGTCATAGGTCCCTTATCCTTGAGTGGTACATTGCCTCTTCTGACTTGGGTAGTTGTAAAGCTTGTGTGGTATTGTTCTTTGTTCTCAATCTGGTAAGTTTCTAAGGTTTGTAATTCCTTGAGGCATAAGTTATAACTTGCATTTGTAACCATATGAACCCATCTTAGCATGAGTTGTTGTAGAAGGTCATAGCAAGTTTGGTTAAACCATATAATGACACTCAATATTCCACAAACTCAAACATGGAAAAATCCATCGGGTGAATAAACATTTTGACTTTTTTAGTTTTAATTCAACAATTAATTTAAATAATTAATTTCAAATCAAAATAATATTAAATGATTAATTAAAAAATTAATTAATATTTAACATTAAATAAAATGCCAATCCCAATCAATTCCGTATTGATTATGAATCACTATTCATAACTAAAATATTTAAATCTTATTTAAATATCTTCAATTCTCTCTTTTTGTTCAATTCATAATTAAAACAAAATCAGGTTAAATATATGGTATATATTTAGTGTGTATTCCTTAATTTGAATTTCAACACCGGAAGGGTTTTGATTTAATAGAAAAAGAAAATTACTAAAACATTATAACTCAATTCAAGGGGTTTGATTCAATAGAAAAAGGATAGATAATATTACCCATGAAATCTCGTCGAGAATGCTTGATGATTAGAAATCATGAACCTCCATAATAGTATGATATTGTCCACGTTCAAAAATAAGTTCTAGTTATTTTACTTTTGGTTCTCT